TATGACGAGGACTAATTTTGACGCGATATCTCGAGATCCAGTATTCAATTTTGATCGAGATATCGTGGGTGTATCATATTCCCCTAGCTTTGTGTAGCATTAGGGACATTCATATTTCGTGACCCTGTGATTAGAATCGAGCAATTCTGGCAAGTATCATTTGATTCATCTTAACGAGACAAATCGAATAATATATAAATAATTCAATATGGATCAATAGTTCATGAGTTATGCTAGATTTTTTTCTTAACTGCATCATTTAACTTTATGCTTAACAAAGACGAAGTAACAAATGTAAAGTTGACTCTTTTCTAATATTATAAGAAGAAAGTGTACGACCATCTTCCAATTGTTTTCCAGAAAAGATCAAACGTTGCTCATCAGGTGGAATACCTTCTTTATTTTTGATTTTCTGTTTAACTTGATTTATAGTGTAAGATGGTTCAACATCAATTGTGATAGTCTTGCCGGTGAGATTTCTTATAAAAATCTGCATACTACGATAACGAGTAGCAGGAATCTTGTTAGGAAATGCGGTGGTTGAGATTACTTGAGGAGATGTAGTTGAATTATTAATTTCATTTATACTTGAAGCAGTAATAAATGCATTTCTTGGTGGTAAGACAGTATTTGATATAACTCGGGGAGGTAAAACATATGAAGTAATGGGCATATTTGGAGCCATGTGTTTTACCATAATGTCTTTCCACAAATTAGGATCAAGAATTTGCTGATATGGATATAGTTTTTCTATAATATCTTCACCGACAATTTGAAAGTACCGGATATGGGGTAGACAATTTTGAAGAGTAGTTTTTAATAGTAAAAATTTTGTATTAGACCATTGTGTAGGATCAGAATCCAATTCAGAATTTTGAGCAATTCCCCAACGAATAACTTGATCCCAAATTTTCCCTTCATCCATTTGAAGGTTGTCAAGTTTCAAAAGAGAGACCAAAGCTTTTTCAGAAATATTGGTAAAGTCATCGGAATCAAAAAGAATAGTTGGATGTTTAGCAATAATATTATTACAAAAATGTTGTAAAATTTGAAATTCATCATTTTTGAAGCTTGATTTATAAACTTTAGTGAAATTCAGACGCATCCATGAAGAATAATATTTGACCAATTGAGATTGTGCAGTATGAACCAATTCTTCGAGACCAAATTCACTAGCAGCATTTAAAAGGTCGAAAATTATAGAAGCATCGATTTTATCAAATAGAACGATACCACCGTAAATATACCTATATAATTTGCGATTTGATTAATTGATCATACGGAACCTAACTAATTGACAATGCAGAATTTAATTAATCGATAATACAGCAGTACAATTATAACTTACTTGATAATAATTTCAAAAACAATAGCAGAAATATGTGGTTTAACAATTTTTTTAATATTTTTACCATGATTTGACTTAATCAACTCATTATGAAAATAAGAACATCGAGAATTTAAGATAATCGAATGGGCTTTAAACACTTGATGGTTTGGCATTTGGCCAACTTCGATTAATACATTATAATCGTTACCATTTTCAAGAAGATTTGTTAAATCGCTAGAAAGTTTTTTGAAAAATTCTGTAGCCATTTCCTACGCTAAGGAAGTGGAAAATAAATTGCGTCCTTACGTACGTACATACACATGATTATATGTGCTTTGTGTAAAAGTAAAGTAGTACAGATTCGGATGGACATATGAAAATTATACTAAATTTTGCTACGTATAACAAGGGGGTGGGTGACTACATATAAATAATATAAATAATAAACTCAGTATAGTTACTTTAATACAGTAACGGTAATAGAAATAATTAGGGTTGAGTTACATAAATTACAATTTTACATGTAATTTCAGAAAATTAAATTTCATGTAATTTTCATCGGGTTTGGGTAAAATCCCGACAGGTCATAATCCCGACAAAAAAATCCCAACAGCAAAAATCCAGACAGGCAAAAATCTGACAGTTAAAAATCCCGACAATTAAAATTCTAATAAATAATATCATAAACCATAACTAATCCTAGCCTAACCCTTATATAAAGCGACCTAACCCTAAAGTTAATTAGCTTACTTCGCTTTAAACATACTTCATATTTGGATTTTCTATTGAAAATTCTGACTGCCGGGATTTTTTAATTGTCGTGATTTTGACTGTCGGGATTATGACCTGTCGAGATTTGCTTGTCAGGATTTTGACCGGCACCCTTTTCATCATGTTGTACATAAAGTACCAGATTTAAAAAAATTCGACCAGTATTATTGTAATATCTGATTTGGATGTACGATCCGATTTGTAACTTCTAAATTGCCGAAAATTTGATCTCAGAAACGAAATTCATGTTTTCGAAATTATAAGTTAATGAATTTATGAAACTTCCGCAAAATTACTTAAAATTACGCAAAATTGCAGTAATTTTACTTCCTTAGAAATAATATGACTATATTAAACATTTTTCATCGATCGTAATAGTTGCTACATATAACACTTTATTTTTTTTATAAATAAATTAACCACTGCGCATTAGTAAAGTTGTTCTACATAACAAATTACATGTATTATAAAATTTTGAATATTAC